ATAATGACGATTGTGATTAGGCGCACAAACGTAATCCGCATTAAATAGATTAGGGAATAACCCAAATTCTAATTTAATTAAAATTGGTACAAAGGGCGTAATTACTAGGTTCATTAATGGTAGCTTGGGCCCACTAACTCTGATTCACGATCTGTTTGCATTGTTGGGTTCAGAACATCGATCTCTATAGAGCAGAATAAATTCCGTAATTAAAAATACAATACCCAAGTAAACCTTGGCCAAGCCTACTGAATATTTAACTAATTATTTAAACTAATTAATATTACTAAGCGAGATTTTAGGTCGTAACATCGATTGTTCGTTATATCTAGCTAAGTCATGAGGAACCACAAGAAAGTATTCAATTGTCTAAATGGATAATCTATATTCCTTGGTTTGCAGGCATCCTGCCAAGGGACACGATCCAATGTCATCAAACTATCCCATGCAAAACTCAACACTTTCAAAATTATTTTTTGAGTTTACAAGTACTTTTTGAAAGATGATGAAGGAGTTGTAGAAAAATATTCAGATGTAAGAAAATGATTTTATTTTGAGCCAAGTCTTTAGTGGAAAAAGTGAGCTTGTTTACAATTGATTCTAACTCGTTGTGTTGATTGTTACATTCCATTTCAATATCAAATCCTACACTGAACAAGCTTTGGCATTAGCAATAAAAACTAAGCTAAAGCGCATTCCAACACATATGCACGCGCGCACACACACAGTATGTACACATACATGTATATGTACATATGTGTGTGTGTGTGTGCATATGTAAATGTAGGTTTGTCAAACTTCTCTTGTAAGACTTGTCATACCGTTCTAAGTCCCGATCGTAAAATCACCTCTTGGGCACGTCAAACTCGTTCAAATACACAAAGCTCCCAAAAAATTTTGGGGCCTAGTTTTAAAAAAGAATTTTTACTGTTATGTGTACTTTTTACTCATTCACAAGTCTAGTCTAAAACTATTGTTAATATCTAGAACAATAAAGTCTAAAATATTAAATGTAAATAAACCATAACACCTCAATACCTTATCTAGAGTTAAGCACAAGGTCCCCGTTTTAATAAAGTGTAATGTAACGGTGTTACTAAAACACTAGGTTGACACATTAATTGATATAATGAATGCTTAGGTGAATGGTGACATGGGCATAGTAATTATCTGATGCTTTGTAGTACATATATATATATGAGTTGAATCAGTCTCTATAGATATTTCAAGTCAAAATTCATTTATCTACACCCATGTTGTATTATTCTTTTATCATTAATAAGTGACTTTTTTTACTTAAGATATTACAATTTCACTCACATTTATTTTTCTTATACAACATGTTTGAAATTCATCAAAATTTGAAGCACTAAGATGAAAGATGAGAATTAAAGAAAATGTGATAGACTATTTTTGTTTAGATTTATTAAGAGATTTTTTTATTTAAGAAAAACTAACGGGACTACTTCAACTTGCATGCATATATGTACCTAGACGGACAATATAATTACTAACCTCATGTGAGCATCCACCTATATAACACTTGTGTCCATTAATGTTCCAACTAAACATTTCAATAGCACCTTTAAGAAATGTTCTTTTAGAAGAATTGAATTGATTCACATTTTTAACTACAAGAACTAATTTGACTTAACACAACATAAGAATACCAAATTAAATTTATTTAAGAGTGCATTTATAGCTAGGGATAAAAATGAGTATTTCCTCTTATTTTTCTAATATCTAACCCTCTCTTTAGAAGGGACAACGAATTGTGTGGAAAGAAAATACAAAGTGAAAAAAATAGGAGAGGAAATAATTTTATTTTCTTCTTCAAAGTATTTAATAATTATTTTTTTCCTCTCTAAAATGCATCCAAAGAAATACAGAAATGAAATATTTGCACTAAATAGCACTAAAACTTATGTCATTTCCCTAAATAGCACTTAAACTGTTTTATTAATGAAATAGCACTTAATAATGTCCATAATGTCCAGTGATGGCGAATATTTACTTGAATAATGACTAATGCATAATGACTAAAAGTGCTACATTGGGAAGAAAAACACAGGTGGTGCTATTTAGAAAAGTCATTATGTTTTAGTACTATTTAAATAAATTTCCCATACAGAAATAGTACGTTAAATGTGTTTATACCAAAATAGAAAACTTATAATGTTGAAAACTACCTCTGCCCTAGTATGTTTGTCCAATTTGAACTTTTTAAGTCAAACTGGATGAATATAGAGTTTCAATTATTCTCAATTTGTGTTGCATATTAGTATAATATTATAAAATTTTGAAAGTTATAAACAAGATAGATCTAATTAAATCATTTTAAAATAAGTATACATTATGATTTATTTGAAACTCAAAATGTCAAACTAGACAAAAACATTTACATAGGTTAATAAAAATATTGTGAGATAGCAATATCTAATGCCAAATGGTGGACGTTTTACAATGCCTATAGACCAAAGGGTGTGGGTGGTGTGACCATGATGGCCTATGTTGCATCCACGTGTGGGATGGCCAGGGAACGTAACACTGTCTCCCTACCCCGTGAAGATCATCATCTCCATCACGACAATTTTCTTAATCTTTTTACCTTTTTTTTCACTTTTTCATGCCTTCCTCCTTTTATTATTTTACTTTTTCTAAAATTTTAATTTTTTTTGGATAATTAAATGAACTATTTAGTTAATGGATAGTTTTTTAAAATAAATTTTCAATTTTTTATGTGTACTTTTAAATTTATATATATATAGACAAACAAACACACATATAATTGTATATAATATTTTTAATTAAAATAGATGAAAAAAGAATATAAGTTTTATTATTTTCATTAAGCGGTCTCTATCGCTCTTTTTTTTCAAAATGTTAGTGTGATTTTAAATTTGAACTTTAATAAAATATTTATTTAATCTTTTTTATTTCAAGCCGTTTTCATATAAATATATTTTTGAAAATTAAAAAAATGGGCATGATCTACACTCCTAGGGTGTGATGGGCTGTGATGGGAAAGAAAAAAAAATTAATGGCAATTGTGATTAGGCGCACCAACGTGATTCGTATTTAAATAGATTAGGGAATAACCCAAATTCTAATTTAATTAAAATTAGTACAAACGCCTAATTACGTGTTCCATTAATGGTAACTTGGGCCTACTAACTCAGGTTCACGATCTGTTTGCATCGTTGGGTTCAAAACATTGATCTCTATAGAATAGAATATATTCCCTAATTAAAAATACAATACCCAAGTAAACCATGTCTAAGAATACTTAATACTTAATTAATTATTTAAACTAATTAATATTACTAAGTTGGATTTCATTGTGTAACATTAATTGTTCGTGATATTTGGTTAAGGCTCCGTTCCATTCAACTTATTTTCTCTGTTTTGATCTGATTGGATCTGATCTGATCTAATATAATATTATTTGATTGGATATGATCTAGTTTGACAGATTGGATCTGATTTGGTTTGATCTAATCTGATCTGGTCTGGTATGATCTCATTAATTATGATTTCATTCAAAATTCAAATCAATAATTTGATCTCACTTTATAATAACTTATAAAAATTGTAATGATAATTCATATTATTATATAATCAGTATTTTTCATTTTATGATTATTTTTTAATGAAATAAAATTAGTTAATTCATTTATTAGAATAATCATTCATATTATAATGTAATATTTTTTTTTATTTTATGATTATTTTTTATGAAATAAGAATATTGATTAAATATTTTAATAATTATTTCATATATACATTAGAATAAATATTTAATTCATATATATACATTAAAGAGAAATTAAATTTCGATAATCAATATAGAGAAGAGATAGTATTTTTATTAAAATATCTCATCCTTATAAAATATCAGCATCTGCTTTGTACTACGACACTTTTTTTTATGATTAATATAAAACCATAGATATAATAGTTATATTAATTACACTAAAATATACTCTGTATATAAATATTAAATGTTAATTTTATTTAAGCCATGGTCAAAGTTGATCAACTCAATGTAGTAAAAGATCAAAACTTTAGAAACTCAAATTACAAGTAGCATTACAATACAAATGTATTTTAAAAGTAAAATTAGATTGACATTGTCGATGTATTTTAAAAATAATTTTTCTGACATCTAATAATAAATTACGGATTACTTTCTCGGTTTTTATTTAACTCATTTCTAAAGTTTATTCATTTTCATTTTTAAGAATAATAATAATAATAGTAATAATAATAATAATAATAATAATAATAATAATAATAATAATAATTCTTGATTGGAACTAATCTAATCTGATCTAATTGGATATGATCTGATCTGGTCTAATCTGGTTGGATCAGATCAGATCACATTTGATCTGATTAGATTTGATCTGGTCTGATCAAATCAGAAAAAATAAGTTAAACGGAACAGGGCCTAAGTCATGAGGAACCACAAGAAAGTATTTGATTGTATAAATGGATAATCTATATATGTGAAATTTGCAATGAATAGTACTAAAACATAAGTCATTTCCCAATGTAGGACTTAAACTTTTTTATTCCCTAAATATGACTTAATACTGACAAGTGAAAAGAATAATGTCCCAGTGATGCTGGACATTTAGTTCAATAATGACTAATAGATAATGACCAATGATCCTAATTTGGAAAGTAAAAACATACGATCCTATTTTGAGAAAATCATTATGTTTTAGTCCTATTTAGATAAATTACCCATATTCCTTGGTTTGCAGGCATCCTACCAAAGCCAAGGGACACGATCCACTGTCATCAAATTGTCCAATGCAAAACTCAACACTTTCAAATTGATTTTTTGAGTTTAAAAGTTCTTTTTTAAAGATGATGAGGGAGCTGTAGAAAAATATTTGGATGTAAGAAAATGATTTTATTTTGAGCCAAGACTATAGTGGAAAAAGTGAGCTTGTTTACAATTGATTCTAACTGCTTTAGTCTTCATTTAAAACCCGAGTTCTTGATCTTGATTCTTGTCGTTTTTTGTCATTCCAATAATCAACTCTGACAATTCATTGTGTTGATTGCTCCATTCCATTTCAATATCAAAACCTACATGGAACCAGATTTGGCATTAGCAATAAAAACCAGGCTAAAGCGCATTCCAACCCATATGCACACACACATAGATATATATATATATATATATATATATATATATATATATATATATATATATATATATATATAGACACACACACACACACACACATATATATACATATCTCTATGTGTATATGCATATGTATATATAGGTTTGTCAAACCTATCGTGTAAGGCTTGTCATACCGGTCTAAGTCCCGCTCGTAAAATCACCTCTCGGGCATGTCAAACTCGTTGAAATACACACAGCTCCCAAAACATTTGGGGACCTAGTTTTAAAAAAGAATTTTTACTATTATGTGTAGTTTTTAGTCATTCACAAGTCTAATCTAAAATTATTTTTAATATTTTGAACAATAAAGTCTAACATATTAAATATAAATAAACCATGACACCTCAATACCTTATCTAGGGTTAAGCACAAGGTCCCCATTCTAATAATGTGTATTGTAATGGTGTTACTAAAACACTAAGTTGACACATTAATTGATATAATGAATGCTTAGGTGAATGGTGACATGGGCTTAGTATGGTAATTATATGATCCTTCGTAGTACGTATATATGACTTGAATCAGTCTTTGTAGATATTTTGAGTAAAAAATCATTTATCTAACCTAAGTTGCATTATTCTTTTTTAATTAATAAGTGAATTTTTTTACTTAAGGTTTTATAGTTTCACTCACATTTATTTTTCTTATACAACATGTTTGAAATTCATCAAATTTTGAAGCAATGAGATGAAAGATAAGAATTAAAGAAAGTTGTGATAGATTATTTTGATTTATATTTATTATGAGATTTTTTTATTCAAGAAAAACTAACGTGACTACTTCAACTTGCATGCATATATGTACCTAGACGGAGAATATAATCACTAACCTCATGCAAGCATCCACCTATATAACACTTGTGTCCATTAATGTTCCAACTCATCATTTCAATAGCACCTTTAAGAAAAGTTCTTTTAGAACAATTAAATTGATTCAAATTTTTAACTACAAGGACTAATTTGACTCAACGCAACATAAGAAGACCAAATTAAAATTATTTAAGAGTGCATTAATTGCTAGGGATCAAAATGAGTATTTCATCTTATTCTTCTTATAATTAACACTCCCTTTGGAAGGGACAACGAATTGCGTGAAAAGAAAATATAAAGTGAAAAAAATAGGAGAGGAAATAATTTTCTTTTCTTCTTCAATATATTTAATAATTATTTTTCTCCTCTCTAAAATGCATCCAAAGAAATACAGCTTTTAGTGCCTTAAATGTGTTTATACCAAAATATAAAACTTATAATAATGTCAAATACTACCACCGTCACAGTATGGTTGTCCAATTTGACCTTTTTAAGTAAAAATGGATATGTTGTATATTAGTATAATATTATAAAATTTTGAAATTTATAAAAAGATAGATCTAATTAAATCATTTTAAAATAAATATACTTTATAATGCACTCCCCCTTCAGTCGTTCCATAAGCTGTCCATAAGCTGCTGGACATTGATCCCAAGGAAGAAGTGAAGGTCACCCATGTGTGTCATGGCAAACTCCCCCTTTAGTCGTTCCATAAGCTGCTGGAGAAGGACAAGGGATGAGGCCGTGAGTACAATATCATCAACATAAAGTAGAAGGAGGGCCATATCCTTACCGCGAATGAAGACAAATAAGGATGTGTCACTTTTGCACCCACTGAATCCAAGAGAAAGAACAAATCCGGTGAATCGTTCGTACCAAGACCTAGGTGCCTGTTTGAGGCCATAGAGTTCCTTATTTAATCTGCAAACACAATGCGGGCGTGCTGGGTCCTGAAACCCCAAAGGCTGAGTGGTGTAGACAGTATCTGTGAGATAGCCCTGCAAAAAAGCATTTTTGACGTCGAACTAGTGGATCGGCAATCCTCGGGACACGGCAAGACTTAGGACGATGCAGATAGTGGCCGGTTTGGCAACCGGGCTAAAGGTCTCGTTGTAGTCAATGTCGTGGCATTGATGGAACCCACGGACAACCCATCGAGCTTTGTACCTGGATAATTCACCTGTGGGGCCAAGTTTGTGGTGAAAGAGCCATTTACCGGAGATCACATTTTGGTCGGGGGAAGGGGGTACAAGATCCCATATATGATTAGCTATCAAGGCATTATATTCATCTAGCATAGCATTGTACCAGTTAGGGTCCTTGAGAGCACTACGGTAGGTAGGGGGTAGGGGTGTAAACGGATTTTAATCGGATCGGATGTGCTATTACCAAATCCGTATCCGTTTATTTTTGTCAGACATCGAATTCGGATACGGATCTTGACGGATATTGAAAAATCAAAACCGTATCCGCATCCGTCAGATATCGGTCGGATATCGGATATATCCGTATCTGTTTCCAATTTTTAAAACTAAACTAAACAATACTTGAATTTTCAATTAAACTAAATTAAAATATTATTAAATCAACTATAATTTTTTATGGGATATTTATTTTCTTATTTTTCATAGTTTATGATATTATACGATGACTTCATATCATAAAAAGATATACACCGTACATATATACATATATTTTTACATGTTTACACATATTTTTATGTGTTTACACATATATTTTGCATATAAAAATGTCTTATACTTTGAGATATCTATAGAGAAACAAAATATAAAAATAAAAAATTAGGAAAGACCATATATAACGGATCGAATACACGGATAAACGGTTATTTAAACGGATGTCAATGCGGAGCGGATTATAAACGGATCGGATGTATGATTACCAAATCCGTATCCGTTTAGCAATCGGATATCCTTAATCGGATACGGATAATAACCGTTTTTAACGGATGCGGATATTTTCTATATAAACGGATACGGATGCGGACGGTAATCGAATTTTCGGTTATCCGTTTACAGCCCTA